CTATGATTCTATGATTCTATGATTTGGCTTTGAAAGCTTGAAAAGAATTAGTCATCAAACTTCAAAATACTTTGTCTAGCTTAATGCACCGTGTGCAGAGATATTAAAGGATCCAGTTTCGGGAGTAGGCTCTGACATCTCCCTTATTAGACCAGTGGTATCTGTTTGTTGTTCAATCCCAAACTTAGACAGCTCCTACTGTGACTTGTTATCAAATTTCCCATCCTCCCAGATAAGATAAAAGCTGACTAGGAAGGAGGTATAAACAATGTGATACTTTTCCTGACAAACCCTTGAAAAGGGAGCATGGTCTGAGCTCTGGTCAGTTGGCTCCACACACATAAGGTTAAAAGAGCAGCCTACCCTGTCAGCAGCCAAAAGACACAAGGAAGTTTTTGTGGTTGACACTCAAGTTCAAAGTAAACCTTTACAGATTCTTTCCAAGTTAAACAAAATCCAGGGAAGGGTTCATGATTCTGTTTTTTAGCTCTGCACTGACCAGTAGAGCAGATCACAGCCTGCCAACTGCTTGTGGCAGAAGACGAAACCAAAAGTTTGTAAAATATCTCTCTCTGGTAGTTTTATTTTGTCTGAGACCTTATTTGAAGTTCTTCTTTAGTGTATACCAGGCAAACCTTGAAAGAGACAAATTCTTGGCAAAGTCTCATTTTAGAAATTTTTATTATAGGCTAGATTAAATGACTGTCTCGAGTTCCTACACATGAACTTTCTACAAGGGTCTTCAGTTTGCGTTATTATTAAATACTTATTTTTGTATGCAAAATGTGAAATACAGCTGCTCTTTTGTGTTTGTCCAAATCGGTGGCAGAGTTATAAATATAATTTAAATGTGCATCGGCTTGTACAAGTGGGCTGCAAGAAGAACCTTTTCCCTCATTTCATCCTTAATTCTTCCCTTTTGAGCAAGTTAGAGGTGATGGCTTTGCAAACTGCTCCACCCAGGTGATCCTTGCATTGAGCAGTTCGCAGATTTGCTGTCCCTTGATGCTTGTGCTTGCATCCTGTTTTCTTACATGTTTATTCCTCTTAATTCCTCCTGATTCCCCACTGACACCCTACTCTGTCCCTGAAGAATGACTCTCTATGTGTGTACGATGCCAGCACCATGAGGTCACTGCTCAGTGAAGTAATTATTCATGCAAATCGTATATGAATATGAGTTTTTAATAATATGCTAATTTTAAGTAAATGAGGAATTAATACACTGTGAAAATCACTTGAAAACTTTCCTTTTCTTTTTAAATTAAAAAATTCCAATAGTAACATCACTTTGGGATCAAGATTTTTAAGGTTATTCGAGTTGTAAAGGACCTTACTTAAATAAGTGTCTACCACTGCTCTTTGTGTTCAAACTTGGAGTGACATTGAGGCTTCTTCCATTTAGTAGGGATGGCCAAAGCATCTGGGCAGCAAGCAACAAAGAAAGAGGGAATTAATAAATGGGCAGTGAAAACCTGTCACCACTTCTTTCCTTCTAAGAGCAAAGCAGGAATCAAGAAACTGGATAACGGTCTGGTTCCTTGTCTGAGGACAACTTGACTGCAAGCTGGTGGTGATGCACCAGATTTTTAGTAATGCCACAATTCTTCCCTTACTTTTTGGAAGGACCATAGGCTATCATCATGTGCAGTTATGATTTCAATTTCTCAGCTGCTCTGATTACATTTTTTTCAACGCAAAATCACTGTTATTGAGTACACAGTGGTAATGGGTGAATAGTTCTTGAGTTTTAGTTTTTCACCAACTGTGAAAATAACAGACACAAAATTTAGAATGTATTAGTTAGCCTATCGTCATGAGAGACACAGCACACACTTCTGACCCCGTCTGGCCTGCTTCTGCTCTCATTGAACTCAGTGGCGCTACCCAGTTGACTTCAGTGGTGCATGTCAAGACTGGCTTTGGTGGCAGACCAATGACCACGCGTCCACTGCTTGTCAACAGAGGCAAGGTTTCAGCAGAGACCACCTCCATGGGCATGGCCTGATGGTAATCCAGTAGTTTTATGGTTATAAAACCTCCCCTCCCTGAAGGCCAAACTCAGTTACAGATCTAGTGCTCTGAGCTGCTACACTTTCTTTACCCCAAAGAAACTTGCTATAATTTCATTGTTACTAGCTATTAAATTTGTGCTCCATCCACACTAAAACAATAACAGCAAATTAACAACCATTTTATGTTAGAATAAATGTCATGTTTGGCTTCCAGTTGCTTAACAGTGCTGTAAATTAATTGGATTTTACAAGTCCCAAAAAAGTAGAGCTTTACTTTTTTGTTTGCCAAGCAGCACTATAATGCCATAGAGTATGCTTTGGGGAAATCAGCTAAGAGGAAATGAATGGCACCTAATAAGCATTTGACAAAACAAGTGAAAAAATGAATACGGATCAATCCTATGTATATCTTGAAATTTGGTGAAGTGACTATGGCATTATAGATCCATGACTTGATAATCCAACCTTGTTTGCATAAATATAAAATGCTGTGGCATATTACCTGTGGGAAAAGTTTGCAATTAAGAACCAAATTTCAACATCTGTTTTTGTCACTGATATATGCAGGGATATTTGACTTAACCACAACATCTGTTTTTTGGTCTAGTCCTGCTTTGAGATAATTTAAACACTACTGAATGATGTCATTACTGGTTTCAGGGGCAGGCCATGAGCCTTAGCATTAAACTTTTCAAAAACTTGATTGATAGTTTATTCAATTAGGCTATGTTAAACAGATTACATGATTGTGGATGTTCTTATCCTTTTATTTTCTTCATTAAAGTGTTGTTAAAAGGGAAGCTTTTGTTTCAAAGTAGGGCACTTTAATCTGATATTATCTATCAGATATTCATTATTGATGAGATGTTTGGAGACCGAACCAATACACTGTGCTGAAAAATAATGGGTTTTACAAAAACCATATATTTAAAACTGTTGGATTAACAAGTCATTCTTAACTAGCTTTTATGCTTGAAATACTCTACTTTGCTTTCCATTTTTTCTTTTATCTGCTTTCTTTGCTCTTCCCCTTGGAGGCAGTGAAAGTGGTCGGAGCACTCCAAGCTTATCCATGTACTCAGACAGCAAATCTTCACCTTCTGTCTATCAGCAGGCTCCTAGGCATTTCCATATTCCAGGTAGGCATTCACTGCTTAGCTTTTGACCTTCAATTGCTGGGATCTGTTTATTCTCTTCTGAATGTAATTTTTTTTTTGCATTGATTTGTGAATTTCAAACTGCAAGACAAGAAAATGTCTGATAAGTGAAAATTGTTACCTGTTAAACTTCACCTCAGAAATAAAGGAGTTAGAGAGCTGTGTGCTTATGTAGCTGTGAGAGCTGTGTTAGAGGAGGCACACAGTGACAAATGTTATTAAGCCTACAAAGATACAATTATTTATAGGTCTGTTGAACTTGTGTGCAGGAGGGAACGCTGAAGGCATTTTTAGTTTTGGTTTTTTCCTTATCCATCTACTCTCTGAATTAAAGAGTCATATTAACATAGACTTTAAAAATAGCTGGCAGACTTTAGAACTCCAGGAAGCTCACTGTGGCTGTGTCTTTGCATATGTACTACATTGTTTTCAAGTTCACATTCAGTGAACAAGCACATTAAATTTATGTCCACGCTGTTTAGCTTTTTGACTGCTAAGCACATCTACCTGCTCAGTGGAGTAGTTTGATAATTTATGTTTAGTTTCTGGGGTTAACATTTCTGTAAACACACCATAATTAGGAATAGTGTCTGCTCAGGTCTGTATTACTAAGTAAATCTGATGTCTGTACAACATGATATGGGAACCCTGGAACGGGAACCCTGGACTGTGGCTCTGGGAGCTTTCAAAAAATTCCTGGAAGGCCAAGTTAGCTATATAACTCAAAATATAGACAAACTATGGGATTTCCTATAAGAATATTGGGCATTTCCAGTATAAACATCTATATCAGAACATGTACACTTTCTCCATAATAAGTAAGTCCCTTTTCAAGCGTGACTATTACAGTAGTCTGTTGTACCTGTATATGAATTTTAAGTAGTGACAAGTGTAGCCAGTTTCTCTTTGTTGTCTATGAAGTATACATTGGTAGTGCAGATAGCCACCTTTATTTCAGCAGATAAGAGCCACCTGAGGTGTCTTAAAGCATTTTGAGGGACTTAGGAGGCATTATGCTGCATAGGTAGGCATAGCCAATGTTTTAAATATATAAAGAGGATGGGTAAGGCTCCATTCTCTGGTAATAGCCAGTGAATGACATCCATTGAATGAATGCATAGTCTTTGTTCAAGTGTTTGCATTTTAGTGTTGTTGAGAGGACACAAGAGCAGCGTGGTCTGAACTGCTTGCTTACTCTTTTATTCCTTCCTTTCTCTTTCCTCTTCCTCAGACACTGGCGTAAAAGATAACATCTATAGGAAACCTCCTATCTACAAACAGCATGGTACAGTCTGCTTTTCTCTGTTGCAGTTTTCTCTACATGTCTTTGTAAAGAAATGCATATTGACTTCCAAATTAGTTTGCTGTAGTCTTTGCATTTCATTATGTCCCTATAATTTCAAATAGAAAAAGAAAAAATGTAACGTGAAAATGAAATAGCATTTTGTATAACGTGGTGTCCAAGGATTCAGTAAGTTCTCTAAAACTGGGATAAAGATATTTTGATTTGTCTTGGTAATTCAGAGTTGATACTAACTTCAAAGCAGTTTTCTTATTTATGGAATGATACAAAACATGTAAATGTAGAAGGTTGCTCTCCTGTTTTCAGACCATGCCTTGGGATATTTAGTTTTTGTAAATAATTCTTACTTCTGCATTGCTGGCGAAAAAAAATGTTCATTGGTAAGTGGTGTATATGAAGTATCTACTTTTCATCTGCAAGTTGTTCAAGCTGTAAAATATCAGGAACAAATGTGATCACACCATGGCAGTTAGGAACAAATTCAGTAGCTGATAACATCGGCAAGATATGATTGGAAGACCTTTGGTAGACCCGGCAACAAGGCTGCTGTCTGAGTTTCTAAACAACAGAAAGAAATATATGATGTTTTATGCCACTGAGGATCTGACTTAAGACTTTAGTAAATATAAAAAATAGAAATATAAAGTTAGTATTCTATTATTATTTTTGCTGTATAACTAATTAACATCAATGCAATTTCCATGTTGATGTCAGTGCCTATGTGTTCTCAGTGATGTTTGACAATGGTCTTTGTTCATGATACAGGCTTAGAAATACAGAATTCATTTTTCGAAACTCGAAATTCCATTATTAATCTTCAGAAACAAATATGTATGGATTCTGCTGCATTAGGGTGCCTAGAAAGCGCAGAAGTACATTTCTGATTAAAAGTCATGACTGGGGTACTCCTGTACTCAGAAGCAAAGGACAAAAATAAAAATAAAATGTGTAATATAAATCTGCCCTAAACCGAAATTTGTATTTTAATCATAATTGCTCCCCTGCTTGGGAAAAAATGAGAGAATAAAGTGAACATGAGGGATGTTCATCACACTGTGAGCAGTAGCTAAGGCACTTTGGGGATGAAAGCATGTATCTTTGGGGGTACAGAGGGGAGAACAAAGCTATGCCACTCTTCGTTGCAAGGGAAGGGGAAGGTCCAGTCTGTGCCTGTGAGCAGTGTCTCCGTTGGAGCAACTCTTCCCATCCTATTACCTTCTCCTATTACCGTCCGCACAGAGGTGACTTCCCATGTTGTATGTAAGAGTGAGAAAGCTCCATGTGTCTGTTCTTACATACTTTGACTTTAGCTGATAGCTGATAACTTTCTGTGAGTCAAAGGTTAGGGAACTGCAGATATATCACTGGCTTCATGGTCAGAATAAGGAAAATACATTTTACATATTTTTCTGTTGTGGTAATAAGGGGCTTTAACTGATTTTATAATAACTTGATTAACATTTAGTCCAAAAAATGATGCTTTTATGTAGTTATCATTTTTATACTATCTTTCATGGAAAACTGCATTTATTTCTGTTTTGGATGAAGTTCTAGTTTGGATCTGATACAGTAAATAGGAGAAAGAAAATTGTCAACTGATGTCTCCCAACTGAGTGAGTCAGCTTGTGCACATTCACGGTAACTGGTGCTTCATGCTAAAGTAACTGCACGTTCAAATCATCCAGATTTAGATAACCCCTGTGGTTTTTCTGGGTATGGTTTTGAACAAAGTCAGACTTGCTGATGTTTCAGTGCACTTTAGGTATCTCTCTTTGAGAGACATTTTCTGCTCACAGTGTCCTAATCTTGGACAAACTAATGTTACCTCTAAGGCAAAAAGGTAGTATCTGTTTGCTTTAGTGCTTGATTTAATGTAATCTGCCAACCTTATAGTCTGGCCAAGCTCTCTAATTCCTTCTTGTCTTTAGATATCCAAATTTTAGACAACTACTCAGGCTGAGCAAAAAAAGCTACTGACAAAGGAAGAAGTTGAATATTACGGTGGTGTTTGGAAAGATCATGAGCAAATGCAAAGTTACAATTATCTGGTGTAAATCAGCATGGCTTCACTGATGTGAAGGCTCCGATGTCCTGTATCCTGGCTGTGTCATTTAATTTTATAGATATTTTTGGTTTGCAAAGAGGATTCTAAGCAGCAGCTTTTTTTGTTCCAGGCCAGGCATTTTTATATCAATTTTCTGTCAGTCAGATATGCAGTCGAAGTCTGGATTATGTTAATTTTGCACTGCTCTGTGGACTTGTTTCTCGTATTCACTGGAGTGAGCAGAGAATTAAATTATTGAGTCAGCAATCTCTGTAGGTTAACAAGGATATATGTTTTAAACTTTCTTTTGTAAATTATAGATGTTCTGAAAGGTTGTATGGAAAATACATGCTCGTTTTTCTAGTGAAGAGCAAAACATAATTTACTGTAACTCAAAAATCAAAAAAATAAATGAACTTTCCTTCCAATTAAAAAAAATTAAAAATTTACCTTTTATTCTGCAAGAACTCCCAGCTAAAGCATGAACACGTGAGCAACTGACGATTCAGCTCCTCAAGCTAACAGGACACTGAACTGATACATGCTGAAAAGGAGCCAGAGAACATTCCTTCATTGAAGAGACCAAGTTTGAACAAACAAGCACAAAAATGTTCTTTAAAACAAAAACTGCAAGAAGCTCTTCGAAAACATTTGGCTTTAAAAGGTTTCAGTTACAGCAGTGCCCAACAGATTTGCTGTAGCTACAGCTTCTGTGTTTCTATTATAAACACTCAACTTCAGAATGAAAAAAAGGTGGTGGAAGAACGGGACATAGGAGAGATCCGGCTGAGAGCTGGGGTCGGAAAGTGAAGAGTGCAAGAGCCTGCGTGGTCATTCTTTTGTGTGTGTTCATGTTTCAGAAATATTTGAGCATCATTCAAAGTTTAAAAAAAATTGAAGAGGTTTGCTCTTCAGCAGTATTAGCAGTGATCCATATGAAACATGCAGTTCACATTGCGGTTCACAGCAGAACTGAGTATCCCTTGTAGCACTGAAGGTAATGCCCAGTACTGGTGAAATTCAGGCCACTTGGATTTATCTGCCAACAATGTGTCATATAAAGGACTCTCAGGAACTTGGGAGGGACAGGCCTTCATGGCCCCCATTGGTTTTGGTTGTACTCCTCTGGATCTCTGCGTAAAACCTTGGTCTTTAAGTAGTTTGAAGTCAGATGCTCTCAAGATCCCATGGAACATTTGAAATCTCTGAATAATGCTTTGGATTAAAGTTTTTTTTTTCCTTTGAAAACATCAACGTCTTGAAACAAAAACAATTTTCAAAAATGCATCAGATTCTCTATGTGGATTTCTGATTTAGTGAGAGCCAGATCCATACATATAACCTGGAACAACTCGTTGACTGGTCATTTAGGGAACACTCCCAAAATATCAGTGAACCAGGTTTAAGTCCTTCTTGCAATGTGGGACCTTATTTTTCATCTTTCACATATGGATATTTCTTTCTATTTCTTTCTCAGAGAAGCAGCTTGCCATCTCGGGAAAATGCCCTGGTCAGGATGCTATTAGCTAACTGTGAAAACTTCGAGTTTTTTCATAACGCTGTTTTTATTTTATGACCCAGCTTTGTTTTGCCACATTAAATTGAGAAAAAAAACTCTACAGTTACAGATTTTCACCTCTAACCCATAGATTTTTTCCTTACTGCAATTTGTCATATTTTAAGTATCATCTCCTCAACAAAACCAGTTAAGGTCTGGATGTGAGCTGTGCAATGGCACCAGAAAATGAAACAGAATAACACTGAAATGCTAATGGTGGTGGCCTTTTGCGTGTGGTGTTTAGATGCAGGGCAGATGCTCTGCAAACATGCTGGTTGGGGAAACGCAGAGGGTAGAGTTGTTCCCAACTGCTGGGAGTGTTGCAGCACTTCTAATGGTGCAACTTGATCTCCTCATCACTTCTGTCTCCGAGAGTCTAATCTGAGCCTTAACTTTTGTATTATCATATGATTTTTATTATTAATAAATATGTTTTCTGGCTACATTGTGTTGCATGGGGCTCTCGTGTTGCCCTTTTACTCAGGCATTGCAGACGACCCCCTTGTTATGATGACTTCTCATGGGCTTAAAATTATGCTAGATCATTGCATTACTCCAGTTTTGTACCATTAAACTCTCCCCAAAACAACATAGAATGATACAAAGGCAAGTAGGCTTCAAATTTAGGGAATTTATCTGAAATTATGTGAAATATGGCACAAAATCTTTTTGTAAGATTCTGAGGTGTAACTGAGTGTCTGGAACAATACTCTGGGACATAAAAGACAAGGAAAAACATAGTTGATGTTTGCGAACTATCTAATGAATAGCTTTTAGGTTTTCAGTTTTGAGTTTTTCTTCTCATCAAGTTGGAAAGTTACAAGAAAATAAACTCAACAGTAAAATATCAGTAATATTTTTTTGTTAAAAGACTCTTTCAGAGGGCAATATAGTCAGAAAAACGTTTGGTCACAGAATTGTGAATTTTAGAGTCTGACACAGCCTCTGTTGCAGATTTCATGAAGAGGTAATACCACATTTGTTCCTATCTTCTTTACCATCATTGCCTATCCTTTTTGGGAACGTAGGAGGCCCAGGGGTGCAGACCACAAAATACCTATGTAACCGTATGTACTTTCGTGGTCATGGTAACACAGAAGAATGGAGCAATGACTTGCTCCTGTGTGCAGTGACCATATAAATCTGTCCCTAAGTTATGATGTAGGTTTTTTCCCATCCATCATTCCCCAAAAGTAGTTTCTTCCTGAAAAGATAGGTTCAAAATCCAGCAGGAGTAGATCGTCTAAATTCACTGTATGCCTGAAGGATGAGTGTTACTGTAATCGTTTCAAAATTATTTTAAGTAATTCTGTGAAACCATAGCTCTGGAATTTTCTGCCCAGCTCTGTTTGTTTTTTATTTGGTTGGTTTTTTAATTTTCTTTTTCCCCTCTTAAAAATATTTGGAACAGTCAAAACAGAAGACAAAAAAGATGTAATCTGTTCTAATTTTTAAAATTAACTTAATCTTCCAGCAGCAAGAAGATCAGAAGGGGAGGATGGAAGCTTGGATCAGGATAGTAAGAAGGTAATGACCAGAAAGAACAGAAGGGAGTAGTTTATCGATCTTTCTTGAAGCAACTGTTTTTTAAAACATGTTCATATGTAAAGGTATTCTTTCATATAACTGAAATAGTCATTACTACTTTTAGGTCTTTCCAAGAAGATGTAGAAAAGCTTAATCTCTCACCCAGAGGGTTTAGAATCTACATTCTACAGTGGAGAAAGAAATAGGCATATTGAGATTAAGAGCAAGAAGCTCATGGATTTTCACTCAGTCTCAATATATACATTGGTGATGCAGCTAAGCCTGCAGACTTTTACTTAGGGTGCATATTATTAACATACAAGAAGAATGTTAACAGATTAATTATAAGAAAATTATATAGTGCATCGTCTAAAGTGGGGTGCAGTGGGCAGCTTAATTAACAGAGAAACTATCCTCAGCCTAACAGATAGTTAAAAGTTTTTGGTAGCTGCGATGTCTGTCATGATATAGTCAGCGTTTATAATTTGATAAAGGATGGTATGAGTTGCAATGAGCATAATCATACAATCAGTTCAGAAGACTTCCTAGACAAGTAAAGTAGGAGAACTGCATTCAGATGTTAAATCCTGAATCTTGTAACAGGCTTTTATTCTCTCCAGCTAAAGACCAGTTGGCTTATTCTGAAAGGGGATATAGACACCAGAACTAATTCCCCGGATTCGGACACGCGGTCCCTGTCTCTTACTGCTGGAACTGACAGAGAAAACTTCCCGAGGGCACAGGAGGGCACGACTGCCGGCTACTCCCGTGAGTACTGCATCCCCTGGCCCGCCGGCGCTGCCGAGTAGGAATGTGGCAAAGGAAGGTGGCCCTGCCGCAGCCTCGTCCACACAGCTCGCTAGTCGGCTTTATGCTTCATTTCTCTATCGTAATTACACCTCTTTGTCAGTTTGTTTTCCTATGGCTTGTAAGCGTTCAGTGCCTTCAGACTTCGATAGTGAAACTATTCATAATTTCATATTAGTGAATGAAGAAGCATTGCTTGTATAAAAAAACTGTATTGTCTCTTTGGAGAACAGACGTTCCTTACCACAAAAAGCTGCCCCTCATTAATACATAAAAGTGCCTATTTGTTATATGCTATCTATTTTCAATAGACAGGATGGTAGTATCAGGCAGATTGTTGACTTGTGCTAACTACTTCTTGATATAAGCTATGTATTTTGAATATTGGCAGAGCCATTTCTTCAGTATCGTGATAAGCATAGAGAACACTTTGCTCCAAAGATTAATTTAGAATAGTCATTTTTTGTTATCACTCACAGTTAATCTTCCAGGTGGAATAATGGGGTAATTTTGTTACTAAATATTGGTCTGAAGACCATATGCCTATGCTAGCTGTCAGTACCAAAAGCATGTTCTACACATTTCTGACCCTACATTTGAGCAAGTCAGGAGGTGAAGGAAATGGTCATCAGAATCGGGTCTGAATTTTACTTTTAGATTACATAAATGACAAAAAATAGTTGAAGTGAATTTTAACAGATAACTGGGCCATTCCTCTGGGCCTGCCTCCACTTTACACCATACAGCAGTAGCAGGTCATCTGGGGTAGACAAGTTGGGGAAGCAGTTTTCCAAAAGAATGCATCCAATGCAAGGCATGTCTGGCAGCAAGGCTAGGATGTCAGTCTTGTGGGCATTTTGGTAATGTGATAGCTGGCTCCATCAACTTATATTAAGGAAATTATGGCTTAGCTATGCAAGGAAGAGGAAAAACAGATGCTACAAAGTCTGTCACAAGGCTGTAACAAGATAAAGAAGAAAAGTTATTTTGGATCATCACTCTCTGGTCTAACTTGAAGGGATTTGATTCCTTAGTCCTCACCAGACATCGCATACATGTGCACAACGTGTATTGTAGGATTCCCTGTGCAGGGGAAACCAAGTCTGACCCCCTCACACGCCTATATAACATCTCTAAGTCATTGCTCAGAAATGAACACCTAAACCTTTCATTGTAATATGCACGTTGGGTATATTTGGAAGCTTTCTGGAGTTGATCTGATGCTTTTCTACAGATGTATTGAGAGAACAGTCCTTGCATGCAGATTTTAAGTAGGGAGAAGTATGTAGCATATCAAGAACTGTGTTATACAGGAACAACATGCGGTGTCAGTTTTTTTCATGAGAACATTGCTATACCTGTCACTCTTCTATACCAGCATTTCTTTTATGTTTTTTTATTGTCTTGGGAGTGTGAAGCTAGTAAAACTAGAAATGCAAAAGATGGTTCAAACCTCTGTCAGGGTCATTATCACCTTTGTGCCAATGCAACATAGGTTGTGTATTTTATTTTCAATTGCTTTTTGTCAGTGTTTCTCTGTCCCTCGTGAAAGTTGGCCCTGTTACCCAATTAGCAGCTACACAGGAAGGACATTGAGGAAGTTTTCTTTTCCTGACATTTACACTTCTTTTTTTTCCCTTTCTTTATGATTTTATTCAGCCACCTGACTGTTTTAATACCCATGGACATCCTAAGTAATCCCTTCTCTACTCAGTCTTTCCCTGTTTAGTTCTGAAGATTTGTAGTCTGTCAGATGCCCCATTGGCCATGGAAGAGTAGCGTCTCTGTCTCTTGCACTTATGGTTGAGAACTCTGACATTCAACCCCATCTCTGTGGCATAGTCAGTGAGTATCAGAGAAGACAAACTTTTCGGGTATAGGTTTGGTGCCAAGTGGTTACATGCAGAGTGGAGGGGGTTAGCAGGCGGGGGTTAGCAGGCATCAGACTGCGAATCTCTGGTGGTATGTCCAAACGTACTGTGCAAACAGCCCTGCGTGCATCTGTCCAGCCTCTGAGCAAAGCAGAGAAGGGTTATTCTGCTCTAGAAGATATTTAGCCACATTATGTTATCTGTATGCCCAGAAGAATATATCTAACAACAAAGCACATCAGTATGAGGCTTGTGTAATTAGCAGGCATCTAGAGTGGAGCTTGCATCTCCTTACATCCATCTGTGTAAATGTGTCTTTTTTTCTGTATATGTAGATGTTTAATAGTTAATAATTTGCCATAATTCATTATTTTAAGTGTCACATATTTAGGAAAGCAGACATCTAGCAAGGTGTGTAACCCTTGCTGTTCATGTGTCCCTGATATGCTGAGAGGCAGCCTCAGAATATCCAGGTTAGAGTGAATGCCATACTGGAAAAAGCAGAAGCCATATCCGTGCAGTGTAGCTGATGTTCAGATAGTGCCTAATTAGAGAGAAAGATTGCTTTATCTTGGCCAGTTACTCCAGAAAATTTACTGTAATGGTACAACTGCAGTTGGATGTGATAATGAGCAGTATGTGGTTGCTGGCTTTTAGTGTTACATTTTTCCTTTATATTAAAAAAAAGAAGGAAAATAAAACGTGTTTAATTCTGTAACTAAGTTCATGGGATACAGAAGCTAAGTGAAATACAGTTCCCACTGGAGTCAGTGGGTCTTGCTAGCTTGTTGTGGATGATTTCAGCTTTATTCGCCCCTTGGATTTTTTCCAGCCAGCCACACGATGTCGCTTGTGCCCGCGGATGTGGCTCGGTCCTGGCAGCCTGGGAGCAGCTCCTCAGCTGCTACATGCTGAAGTGAATTGTGTTTGTTTTCAAACTGGTTTTTACCTTAGTGCATTTTTCCTTGGTAACTGAGTAGTATTATTTGGTGATAGAACAAAACTGTGTCACCCATCTTCTCTGTAGCCAAGAGGCCAAGAAGTTGAACTCTGTACTGATGTTCAAGACCAGCATCTTTTTCCAGGCAGGAGCAGAGATGATAGTTTTTTGCAGATACATTCATTCTATCTCACAGGTATTATACTCTTTGCCCTCCGGTGTCACTACCATTCGGATAACAGACAATGATAAGTTTCTAGTTTCCAAACTGGAATAGCTAAGTGATCCATCTAATTCAGTATTCTTCACTACGTCCCTGCATCAGACGTGGAAACCCCCTGCAGGGCTGAAAACAAAAGTTCTGCTCGTAGTTTATACCAGTCCTCAGATGCAGGCTGATTATGTTTCTAAAACATCTCTTGCTTTTATAGATCATCTTCATTTTACTAGCTTAAATAAGTCAGCTTTATCAAGCCTTCTTTCCTGCGATGAGCTTTCATTGCCCCAGTTATCCTGTAGGCCAGTGGTCTGGTGGAGTTAATTTAACCCACTTGAATACTGATGAACAAGAACAGCTCAAAGGATTCCTCTAGGATTTCCTGTTGCTGCCTGAAAATACTATTATTTCCATATCTTATATGTATCAGGACAGATATTTCCAACTTTTGCTTTTTTTTTTTACACTTATATTAGCAACTCAAGGTCATCTTGTGGTTGAGCTGTATATCTAAGCCTGTCTCCTTCCCCATCATTTCCAAATTATGAGCTCTCAGCTTAAATAGTGTAAGTTTGGGGTATTTATTATTCCCCAAGTGCATGAATTTTCCTATGAATTATTAAATTTTATCCTATTTCTATTACTCTAATGTTCAAGGCTATCCCAGTTCTTCATGATATCCCAATCCTCCTCTATATTGACAGTGCTTTATAACTTCGTGTACACAGCAAAGTTTATTAGCCCATTACTATTTTTGGTGTCCAGATTGTTAGTGAAAACATGAGGCAATTTCAACTCAACACCAGTCCATGCTGACACTTTTCTCTATCAGCTCTGCTCAGTTCTCACTACCCATTTCTTACACATTTCACTATTTTCTTACTGAGCCTATAATTCCTCTGATAAACTCCATCTTCTCCAGATTTGCGTTTAATTCCATGTGCAGCCAAATACCAAACACTGTACTGATACCACATTAGATGAGATCCAATAAAATTTATGTTGTGCAGAAGTCATTTCTCCTAAGAAAGAAAGCTACCAAGGAAGTCTGGCACTGTGTCTTTAATTTATGTCAAACCAATTAAAATCTATGTGAATATAATTGATTTTCTGTTTACTTTGATGTTTTTGTTCAGTCTTTCCTTAAGTATTCTGTTGGAAGCAAACTGGTAGCTCCTCGTTATCTTTTTCCCCTCTTGAATATAAAAGCTATAGTTGCTGTTCTCCAATGGTAAGAGGTATTGGACTTGCAATTTGATGTGAGCTTATCGCTCCCTGTATAAGTATGTTAAGTGCTTTGAATTATGTTTCCATCATGACTGTGATTCTTTGGCATACCCTTATTCCATTAGCTTTCCCTCCTCGCTCAGTACTCTACCTTTTGTTCCTAAAAAATGGAGGAAAAAATTTTGTTCCTTTTGTTCCTAAAAACTCCTTCAACATTGGAGCCCTACCTAGGTTACCTTTCACCTCTGCTGTGTACTGACATACTGTAACTCCCAGTGATCCCATTTCTTCTTTCCTTGTTCTCTTTTTATTTGGATAGCTGGAGAACCTTTTGCTATTTGTTTTAATATAATTTTCAGTGTTTAACTCAGCTTGACTTCTGGCAGTTCTAACTTTATCTCAGCACATCGTGAGCTCTTTGCTGATCCGTCTTTTGTTTTTTCTTTCTGTATGCTTATTCCTAATCATCTCCTTAGGGTATTTATTAATCCAGTGAGGTCTGGATTCCCTTCCTGCATTCCCCTTTGGACACAGATTGCTAAAATTTTTGACAGAAAGAAGTGTTGTACATTCAGTTCTTTGAGCTAACTGACTTCTGTAACTCTTTGCATCAGTTTATCAAAGTTTCCTGTACTGGAATCAAGAATGTTTATTACACACGTGTTTGTTCATCTTCTGTTTAATTTAAACTAATTCAGCTTGTCACTTCTATACAGCATTATTTTTATTAACCAAAAACTAATCTGAAACACTTTTTGTCCTTTCACTGACAAAAGGAACTTCCAAACTTTCTTACTAGACTCTCAATATTAAAAGTAAGGCTCTTCAGTTGTTTCATTGTGACTGCACACAGTTTCATCACCATATTACGTTCAGTTTGTTCATGGTAACACCACTTTGCCAATTTTGTCTATCTTAAAACTTTCTTTGAGTGTTTATACTCTCACTGATGTACTTTATCCATTGCTATATCTTCACTTACATTTTTTTCCACTTGAAGCAGTAGAAGAAATTTTTAAAAAAGCAAAAAAATTTTTGTGGGTTTTTTTAAGTGGTAGGATATTCTTTTTTAAGAAACACAACCAAAACCAGACCACATACATCATGATCAGAAGTGGTGTAACTCTAAAATGATGGTACCTTTAATCCCATTTTCAAGCCATGCTTTAACACCAAGTTGGAGGGCAGAGATTTCACAAGCTCTCTAATCTGCTTTGCATCACACAGCTGCATAAGGCTTCTGTAAAATGAGTCCCACAATTCTCTTCATGTCATGCCCGGTAAGGTGATTGCATCCTGGCATGCTGTTATTTATAGACATTGCTACACATTAAATATGGAGAAAAGATTAGCATTGCTCAGTTATATTTCATCCCATTAATAAAATGTACATATTGATCTTGTAATTGCTGTTTTTGGATGTTTTCTTGAGTTCTGTGTTTTAGTAGGCTGTAAAGGGTTTACAAAAAATACAGCTGTATGTTATGTCTTTTACAGGATTTCCATATTCTAAATCTGCTTCTCTACCTGGCTATGGAAAGAATGGCTTACATCAGGTAGGTATACATTTAAATGCATTCTCCAGGCAATAGTGTATCATAAATAAGCAGCTTAGTAACTAGCTGAAAATCTACACAGTAATAACACTTCAAAGATGTTTTGGCTGCCAGCCCTGTCTGACAGATTCATACCCTGTGTGGGTTACAGTTTGTCTGTCTGCAAGAGTAAGACAGAGTGAGGCTTCTCCTTTTAATTGTGTGCATCATGAGCATTAGGAATCTTGGTTCTCCTCCCAAAACAAACAAAGGTCCAAAACGTACAGGCTGCACATCTTAATAGATCACAGTATGGCTTGAATTAATGACAGAGAGGGTTACGCCTATAATTAGGCAAGTAATGATCTTAGAGCAGAGGTGGAGCAGCCCACATCCATTGCATTTCTTGAACCATCTGTTATGTTTTTTTCCAGTATGCATGTGTATATATATATATTTGTATATGCACACACAGTCATCGTACTTTTAAGGTGGCGAGGGAGCAATACGGAGAGAATGGCAGGCAGCAATCTAGAAAGCAAAATGCATAACAAAATTATGATCAGATCAAATTAGGCGTTCTTTTTCTAATCTTTTTTTATAATGTTTGTAAGTCTTTAGGAAAAAGGCATCTTTGACACTATGGTCTCTTTTTCTCTCTGGCATCTAGCATTATGGGTTCTCAGTTCATGGCTTATATTTTTAGGTACAAACCCATTATGGTTAATAGTGATAAGTTGGCAATACACAGATGCACGTGCACTTATATTTTGAAGGTTGATTTGTGTCTAAATTACATGGACAGGACCTCATTCAAATTCCTTCCTTTCTCCAATGGAAGATGTGAAAGCTGCAGAGGACATGAGCAGGATTGAACTTCCCCAGTGATAAGATTCAAACTGCAGGTCACTGGATAGAGCTACAAGAAAGCAACTGTCAGAGAGTAGCTAAATGAATGTTTCAGCAGCTACTGAAATGTCAATCCCTTTGAGTTAATACTACAAGACTAATTGTGCCTGCATTGCTTCAATACCTGACTGCTTGAATTCCTCTCTGAAGGAACCAGTGGCACTGCAACTTGATCAGATGAGATTTGCGAATTTGAAAGGGTCTGGATAAACCTGTTCCCACCTGTGAGTCAACAGCTTTTTTCTGACTTTTCAGAATAACTGTTACCAGTAACCTGAAGGGAGCGAGGGACCGACTTAGGCCCAGTCACTGCGCTGGTGAGGCACCAAAGCCATCAGAAGGCTCCACACAAATAAGGCCAAAGCAGACTCCCATCAGCAGTGGAGTTGGCCGCGCTTGCAGGCTGAAGCCATGCAATGTAGTATGAAAGCAGCAGATGGCAGCATTTGTCCCGCCTAAAGGGTCCAACCTCACAGCCGAAAACTGTAGGAAAGTTGAAAAGGTTGCTCATGGTCAAATCCTTGAGGCCAAAATTCTTCTCAGAATGGATGTCCTCTGTTTGGATTGCAGGTTCATACCAGCTTTTGTGGTTTGTTATTTTTAATCAGCCATCCCAGTGCTGCGTAACAAAATAAACCAAAACCAAACAATAAGGAGCCTTGCAGGTTACTGTGAGCGTAGCTGTGCACGCCATTGATACCCTAACAGGCAAAAATGAGACTCGGGGGAAAAAATCGTATAATAGTGCTTTTCCGATCTCCTGTAATGTTTTTCATCATAGCATTTGCCAGCAAAGGAAAAAGTGGGTCAAACAAAGCTATGGCACATATGCCCAGTTCTCCCTGGTCTTAGTGGCATCAGCAGTGTGAAGCAGAAAGCAGAATGAGACAAGTTTCGGTGCAGCATAAGTGATTTGTGACGACAGCAGTAAGATGTCTACATCACAGGGAAAGGCATGTGACAATTTAAATCTAACCTTACTGCCAGGTCTTGAAATGGGGGCAGTGGTGGCTTTCTGTCACCTTTCTGCCTCATTGAAAGCTGCAAGGAATCAGAGCTCAAAAACGTCCCAAGGGCTTAGGGGTGAGGTGGGTTGACATGACACGGCAATTGCCTCTCCGACTGACATCCAAGCTCCAGCTTTCGGTGGTCCGTGGGAGTTCACAGCATAGGCAGCAAACTGCACCTGCAGTGCCTCCGAGGACCCAGGCACTCACTTGACGCTCCATCCTCGCCTACAGGCAGAGCTTCATCTCTGCAATCGTAGATCGATGCGTGTTGCGAGCACTCGGGACTCCTGCCTTGAGCAATTGGGTCAAGTTTGAATGAGACTTTATTCTCTTTCTCTCTCGCAAGGATCTATATTTTGTTTGTGTGGTACCAACTGGTTTTCTTTTTTCTCTCAACAATGTGCAGAGTTATTTTGCAGTGTATTTTGCTGCTATATTGCTTCTTTCTTTCTCTTTCAGCCTGAAAATATGGGCCAATATGAAACGGACCAGGAGGCGAGCTGGGGGATGAAAGGTACATTGCAATATCATTTCCACTCCAATTCATGTTTTCTTTCTTTCAGGATGCTCATTAACATCTTGCCATAAAGGGTTACTACTCTGAGATCTTCCCATAGTTCACATAATAATGACTAGATAGACACCCAGCTCAGTATCATGTTTATCACAGAGAATCTTCTTTTTATCTGACCAAACATAAAGGCCTGACAGAAGTCTTGCATCATAAAGTGGTGCAATCATGTTGAGTCAATCCCAGTATCCTCAATATGTGGCAACAGCCTCTGGTTCTCTTTGCTTAGCAGGTGGTGGTCTCATATCAAAGAGAGGAAGAAATTTAAGATAATCACTCCTTCAAGATGTATCTAATTAAAAAGTCCATTGTGCTTCTTGTTTGTGCTACAGTGTGGTTAAAATGTACAGACTCCAAAAAGCAGAATTTATTTGCATTCATTTTTTTTATTACAGTTTAAGTGGACTGTGAACTTAATATGGAATTTGGGTTGGAATTTTCAAAAGAGCTGAGCAATTTAGGAATATGCATCTACTCATGAGGAAGAGTAGGATTTTGTTTCCAAGACACTTAATCTCGTTTTAAAAATCTTACTCTAATGCTCCACTTCATGCCTCTGTGTTGATTCAAATCTTTGTCTCTATGTTTGAATAGTTTAAAGTACAGATTTTAAAAAGTAGACTTATCTCTGATTTCGTTTCAGACCATAAAAAGGTCTATGAAAACATTCTGGCTATCCTGGTTGCATTTAATCATCGATGTGAATAGATGACCTTGTGGTAGTCATATCATACATAGTCATATACTGACCTAGTTAGAATACTCTTGTGCTGGTTTAGATCCAGGAATCATCATCCCCACACCCCCAAATCATCTTTTCTTCACTGTCGTTATTCCCACTGTAGTCAGCCCAAATGCAGGATGTTGGCATCTTGGAATATTGTATTAACTGAATGATTTTCATATATGTTCCCAAACTGACACGCCTGTAATAATCCATATATTTTAACTGTTTTCAGTAAAGAACATTAAGGGCAGGACTTTTGGATGACAGACTGACTTAACTCTGCACAAAAGCCTCCTGTAAAAAGAAATTCCCAATTTTGCCAAACATACTCACTGTGTGACCCAATGGCATCAGGAGATGGATTTTCTGTAATAAGCCTTTGATTTCGAGGACTATTGCTTCGGTAATAGACAGTGTTATAGGTGTTCAGAGCATGGGGGTCAAATGCTTACTATGCATGCAGTTATCCAACAACTACTGAAATCTGTAAGAGAAATGTAATAGCATAACAAATTGCTGATGTACCTAGGTGTTCATTACAGTGACTCCAAAAGAAGCCTATAAATTCTAAACTGTGAACCTGTTCTCATTCTCTTGCAGAATACAAGGTAAGAAGGGCTTTTCCAACACTGGAAGAACAATCAGATTCAGCACTTCCTAGCAAGGTTACATGTGTTCCTTTTTTTATTTTATTTTGTTAATTTTTGTCCCAGTGAAATATTTGTCAAATCAGGATGCAAGTATGTACCATTTAAATTAGTAAGTTCCCCACACTGTCATTTCCACACATCAGAATCAGATTTGGCTGGAGTTCATATGCTCTTGTCTTTTTAACAGATTTATCCTTATGAAACACTTATTGTAACAAACCGAGTTCGTGTGAAATTGCCTAAGGATGTGGACAGGACCAGGCTGGAGGTAGGAAAGATATTTGCTTGATGGCTTTACAAGTTTTTGTCCTGTTTGTTTACCATCTTAGATACTTCTGTGCCCAAGTAATAGCAATGAAAGAAGAGAGAAGAGAGGAATAACATTATATATTATATTTTATTTCAAAACACTAGTATGTAGGCAATTTAACTAAAAAAGAATAGCCAAAAACCTGGCAGATGTCTGACCAAATGGTGTTTGTTACAAAGATACTGATGAAACCCATTGGCTTTGGATGATTATACAGGATATTGGAAGTTGGAACAGGGCAGCTGGAAACTTGGTTTTTTTAATTCATATAAAAAACACCCTCCTAGAATAACCTGAGTATTAGAAAAAATCTCCATTTCTCCTGCAGATATACGGACCTATGTTTCTGGTCCATGGTCTTATTCAGCCTCTCCTTTGGCTGTGTGATCCATGATGACTGTGCTACAGATTTGCTGTAGCATCCTCCTCTCTCAAAGAGTAGTAGTATAAACTGGAGAAATGCAGATATAATTTATCATAAAGGAAAGCTTAGTTTCCAAAGGCCAAATCCTGAAGTTAATGTTCAGGTAAAATTCATGAGGTCGATTTTTTTGACTGAGTAATGACAGGACTGAATAAAGACTCACCTAAATTATTAAACATATCTTTGTGTGAATTACTACTAAGAAGAAGAGATAGTTCAATAAAAGTTATGTGATTAATAGTATTGGACTTTTGGGAAGATTTATATTTAAATAAATGTATTGTATTTTTAACTTGATAATGTGACAAGAAAAGAAGAAAGAAACTTCAATCTTAAAGCAAAAAAAGAAGAAAAACTATGAAGTAGCAGAAAGTTCCTCATTAAAGATCAATTTTTTTTAAAAAAAATCATTTACCAAATTCCTATACATGTAGTATATTTTGGAAATGGTGTTATGTTCTTAAATACTTCAATGTGCTTGTCGCTTGATTACCCGGCAAGTGGCATTGATTTGATTGTAAGGAAAAAAGAGCCTCAAACGTGTGCTCTTTTAAGCCTGGGGTATAGCAAGGCATGATAGCAATAATAAAAAGCATGAGTCCAGAAAAAGGAGCAGGGAGTTGGAGGGATACTTAGCTGGACACATCCTATAAAGGATTCTTTTATATTTATACATATTTGTGTGTATGTGTGTATTAAAGAATACAGTCTTTGTTTAAACACATCAGACTGGTCTGAGTAGCAAATGCAGCTCCAAATTTCTTTTTTAAGACGAACATACAGTTTGCTTGGGATGGATCATGCCTGTCCTGGCTGCCATTATCCCTAACCCATACACTGCCCTCAGCTGGGATGGCTGTGTGTTTAACATTGGAGTTGCTCAGTCTCGCACCAGGTGCAGCCCAGTGCCTGATGGCTCAAGGAGCCCGACCACTTCAAAGATCTCACAGAGGTTTGCGAAAAAAGAACAATAAACAAGATCTGCTTCAAACCTGCACCAGAAAAACGAGAAGGGGACCAGGCTGATCCTGCCGATTGCTGCACTATGTTAAACATGCGTGTCTGCAGGAAGGACTCCATTGTAGACCATCTTACATTTATTAGGGATTGGTAGTTTTTTAAACAATTAAATTAGCAGCATTCTAATAGGATTATAACTACTGGAAAAACAGAGGCAGCAGCTCATCTACACATTCAAACCATATGCAGAGTTGAGTGACAGGCACAAACTGTTGCCTTCCCTGTCGGCCTCTTCCCCTCCTCCCCGTCCCTTCCTGCTGCATGACAGAATTGCTGGAAATAAGTACCTTTGCATAAAAAGCAGTTTATCATTATTTCCTCTTGTGGCAGAAGAAGAAGATTGTAACTTAGCTGCTGACTTGTGCATTCAGCAGATTTCAGGCTTGGGCAAGACCCAGGACTCAGGGAGCCCAAGACTTCGTGAGTTCATAGGTTTGCACAGGAGTAGACCAGCGTTAGACACACAGACAGACGCACACACCCCACTTAGCATGTCTCGGTATCTTCAAGCTTTTGGGGGCAACACTGGGAATACTGGAAACAGGTATCAGGTTAGATTCCACCTTCTCTTGAGCTCCATTTCACATTCGCTAGAGGGTATGATTCGATGCTCACAGATCTCTAGGGGGAAGTGCTCTCTCCGAGCAGAATGGGTTGCCGGCTGATCTTCTGTTTTCATCCTGCACAGCTAATGTCACTTGTGAAAGGGCTGGATTGTGAAATGGTGAAGGTGATAGCGCTGCTAAGCCCATGTATTATCCAAACCGTAGAGTAATGTATCTAGGAAAATCTTTTAAGAAAACATCCATGTTCTAATATTCCAGTTTAATTCTGACCAGTTTTGCAGGCTGAAGCCTCACCTTGCTCTCGCTGCTGCAAATCGGAACAAGCTCCTGAATGGGATGGCTGTGGGCAGGGTACAGGTGGTGTCAGTGAAAGGAGACCTAGAACCGTTGTGGTTTATATCAACTATCAAACCTGAAAGCGGACTTACCGTGTCCAGTATGATTAGAATATCTCACATGTGATTTTTCTGATTTCCTGGTCTACTTAGGAGCAATAAGGTGACTAAATCTGCATGAGCTAGATTTATTTAACAGCCCTCCTCCTGCAAGTTGACTTGAAGCAGGCTCCTGTTTGTGAAAGAGAGTTTGTGTGAACTTGGAATGATCTGGCATAGATGTCATGGAAGAGGCGCTGTTGTTTGTCTCTGATTCCCTCTTCCAAGGGAAGTCTCCTATATTGAGTGTTCCTGTCATGAAAAATGAACTCAAGTAAATGGTATTAGCTCCTTGGGTCAAATTAAAGGAGGCTGCAATGAAGGCCTCGGCTAATGGTCAAGGACTGCAGGTGGGTGGGGTTTTAATGGGTGATAGTGTTTTCCTAACTTTTGCTCCCATTGTGAGTATTTTTTAGATTACGCTGTTGTGTAAGAAATTTATTTTAAGGATTATAAAAAGTATTTTCTTGTAAAAATGCATATTTTTCTAAGCCCAAGAGGTATCTAGAGATTAGGAAGGCTCAACTGGTAATAAATGCATTCAAATAATAGGAATTCTTTCTTCAAAAGCCCATATATCTAAGTGTAGAAACACTCGGCATGTTTTTGTTTGCTTGTTCTAACTCAGCAGTGAGGCAGAAGTAGCCCAATTCCTTGTGCTCCTCAAGGAGATCTTTATGCCAGCAGTGAACTAATACATGCAGCATTGAGAACTAGTTATAATAAATGACCTGCTGATTTTTAAATATGTTACTGGCACTCTGGCTTTTGAATGAACAGCCTGGATCTTTGTTTAGTATAAGCTGATTAGAAATGCGAGGAATTTACACTAGATAAGGATTTGGCCCAGGAATTTTTTTAGAAGTTTCTCTCTACCACAGTGCTGTTTGTTCTAACGTTAGATGAACAGAGCAGCATTCCCGTAAGCTATTTTAAGAGGAAATGGTGAAGAACAAGTTAATTCAGATAATGTTGCAGAGCAACAAAGCAGTAGGACAGGATTGGATTATACAATCTGGGTGAAAAAGGGGAATTGCACCCTCCCCATGTCTGCAGATGACACAAACTGGGGGGGACAGCAGTTGATGCTCCGGTGAGCAGAGCCTCCGTTCAGAGGGACCTGGCCAGGCTAGAGGAATAGGTCGACAGGGACCTCATGAAGTGCAGGTAAATCCAGGTAAATCTAGATTCCTGCACTTGTGTCAGAATAATGCCATTCAACAGCACAAGATGGGGGGAACAACTCTGCAGAAAGAGACCTGGGAGTCCTGATGGAAAATAAGCTGAACATGAGTCGGCAGCGCACCTTTGCAGTAAAGGGGTTAAAAAGGGAAACATACCCTTCTCGGAAGCAGGCACTGGAAGGCCAAGAGGCAACAGTCACAAGTTGCAGGAAGGGAAATTACAATTAGATATAAGGGACAAGTTCCTCACTGGGAGGATAGTGCACTGGAATAGGTTGCCCAAGAGGTTGTGGAGTCTCCATCCCTGGAGGCGCGCAAAACTCAGCTGCACATGGCCATGAGGGATGTGGTCTAATTTTGAAGTTGGCCCTGCTTTGAAGACCTCCGTAAGTCCCTAATTTGCTTAGGTTGGTGTATTCAGTGAAGACAAAACCTTAACATAATATAATTCCAAAATAGGATTATTCGGTGCTCTTGTTGCAATACCATTTGAAAAAATGCATAATTTGGTCTCTCTTGGAACATTTTATCAAATGGATCACTTTATTATGCAGGGGCTTAAATATAAGTGTCCTGGAGCAAACTTCCCTATTTTGGACAACTTAAGTCCTGAGTTTCCAGGGACTACGACATCACCTTTGGATGGTACACATTAGCACATTCCTTACCTGCTGGTTTCCCAGTGGTGTTCCACACGGCCAGTTTTTTTTTTCCAAAGGAAGTTGGGCTTACGGACTTTTGAAAATCTTGATACCTCTTTTAAGTACTTGAATACCTTTTATGATTTAGGCCTTGGGCTCCTAAAAGCATGCACTTGATACTTTTATCTTAGATTGGATATTGTTTGCCTGTTACTCAGTCATAGCAATGTGATTCAGTGCTTGCACATCCAAATTGATGCTTCATGCCCAGCTGCTTAGATTTATTTTTTTTTCCTCCTGGAGTTGCTTTTATCACAGAGTATAATATTTCTTTTGTGGTCACAGGCTGGTAGTTTTGAAAGCCGACATAGTTAAGAGTCTTCCATTTGGAAATCATCTTTTAGTGTTTTCATGAGATTTTCTTATCTTAATGTATCTTAGTTTCGTTAGCCTTTTCTTTTGAATGTCAGAGAGTTAAAAGCATTATTCATTCATGCCTATCAAATACAGTAGAAAGTAAATTATTCCACTTTTGTTTGAGCCTGTTCATTCTTTGTTTAACAAGGATACACTGAAACAATTGCTAAGGCAAAAAATATTCTGGAACGTCGAGTAGCAAACCTTCATCTGCCACCTTGTTCTCTTGTAAACAGAAGTGGGAGATTTAAACATGGGTGCGGTCTTGTTTG